CCGAGGCTCTACACAATCTTTACAAAATCAGAGTCAGTCTCTTTGACTGCACATAACAACAACACTAGCTCTCCACAAATTAAATACTGCTCTACTTTTTCATCAGCAGAAAAAAAAGCTTGAAGTGAATGAGCACATTTACTAATCTAAAGCAATGAGATTCTGTCAAATAGTAGGAAATAATCATCCTTTTTTCTCATAAGCAATAAACACTGTGAACACTACCAATTGTGTAGTAAATTTACATGGTTTTGTTTCCATGGCAATCATCATGCACAAAACGAAGAATCGCTGCTCTTCTATAAAGAGCATCTTTCTCTCAAAGAAAGAATTTTCCCTTTTCAAACAGAAATTTAAAGTTATCCAAGAGACATTTTAAAAAAATAGAACTAAAATAGAACAGTAAGAATTTTCAATAACAAGTGTTTAATGATTCCTCACTTTGCAAAAGGGCTTCCTCCATTAATTTCTTAAATGTTTCAGGTTAACTTTCCAGGTTAACAACCATTTAGGGAATAAAACTGTCTGGAATGAGAATACAGTTACTGGGAATAGAGGGCTTGAAAATGGGTTTTAAGGATGGCACAATTCTACACACATGGACAAGCACATATACAAGCATATCCCTTACCAACTACAAATAACAAATGACAAATCTTCATCTTGAGATCACTCAGTCTATCAATACAAATTTAAAACTATGAACAGTGTATTGTTTCATTGTGTATGGCTGAGTTGGAACCAACCCACAGCTAACCCTCTGGTGGGGTTTCCAAAGCAGTTAATCACATGGAAGGAGATTTCCCATCCTGCTCTGGTGGAGCAGCTAGTGGATTCAAACTGTGTGCTTTTGAGATGGTAGTATAGCTTTTTGTCGGTAGGCCATCATTTAGTGCTATGCTGCATAGTGTCTTACACAGCTAACCAAAAGTTTGGTGGTTCTAATCCACCATTTGCTTTTCAGAAGAAAGATGAGCAGTTTCCTCAAGACTTACAGCTTTGAAAAGCTCATGGAGGTTTGCTGTTAGTGGGCATTTACTTGATGGCAGTGGTCAGAAGTCATAAAAGTTCTTTTCTCATCCTTATTTTGGCACAAAATTACAGTATAGCACAGATTCAGCTTTCACAACTTTAAGATAAAGAATTAAGATTAAATAGCCTTTTTGTCAGTTTATATCTTTTCATCCACAGACTTATCTATTCATATATCTGTTATTTCTTTCTGTGCTATATTGTATACTTTCTAACTAACAGCTTTCATAAACCAAACCAAATCCACTACCCTCAAGTAGATTCCAAGTCATGGTGACCTTCCATCTGGTTTCTGAGGCTGTAAATCTTAACAGGAACCAAATGCCTCATATTAATCCCAACGAGTGGCTAATGGATTTGAATTACCAATTTTCTCAGTTATAGCCCAACCTATAATGTACTATACCATGAGGGCTCTTCCATACCACAAAGGAAATGTTTATCTAATTAAAATTTGGGTTACTCTGAAAAAAATAACACAACATAGCATCATGCCTTACACAAAAGGATGTTCAATATTTAGTGCAACAAACAGTCATAAACTCTAACCCAGGAAGATAGTGAGGATGATGGGGGATAGGGCAAGATACAGATTTGTTGTTTATAGTGTTGCTCAGAGTAGTACTCAAGACTTGGTAACAATAACAACAACTATTCTTCAAAAAGCAAAATAAGGAGCCAGCTGATTTTAATGTTAAAAATTTTAATTTTTATATTAAATATTAAATTTTATTTTTATATTTTATATTAAATAATATTATAGTTTTGACAAGTCACTCAGAATCCCACAAAACAAAAAATATACAGCTATCACTCAGGTTTGAAAAAGTAATTTCTTGAGCTGATAAAGCAAAACAAAGGGAGGGGAACCCCAATACTAACTATATTAAGGAATTTTTCTTCATCAATGAAATAATTTCTTCAGACAGTGTTATCCAATTCTGAAGTCATGATAATATCTAGTACTGTGATTAGAAAAGAATATACTGATTATGAAAATTATTGACTGTGCTCTTGTTCTATACGTGTAATTTGTTAGGTTGCTAATTCCAGGGTCAGAAGTTTGAACTAATCACACACTCTTTAGGAGAAAGATGGATCATCTCTTCCCGCAAAGTTTTATAGCTTCAGAAATCTGATTCTGATAGGAGTCAAAATCAACTCAATAGCAATGGGAGAGTGTGTGGTGTGTTTATCACTTCTCATTTATTTACATAAATTGTTATTGTTGATTTCCATTGAGTTGAGCATGACTCATAGCAACCCTATGAACAAAAGGCCTGAAGCCTTTCTATAATTACCATCATTTACCAAAGTTCCTAGAGTTTCCAGAGGCATGTTGTTTAGGAAGTGGATAAAAATTTTTATATGGTGGGCAAAATACTATCCTATCCTAGAATAGGATGCATAATCATTCACACCATTAATAACAGTCTTGTATTAGAAGAAGATTCATATGCTTGTAAAATTTTATTTGTTGTATGTGTACGTATCTTAGGACTTCTAAAAAGAAGATCGTAGATGAGATGGACTGATAGAGTGGCTACAATGGGCTCACTGAGCACAGCAGTCACTGTGAGAGCGGCACAGGATCAGGTCATGCTCTGCACTGTGGGACACAGGGCTGCTATGAGAAGGAGCTGACTAAAGTCACCTAACGAGCCACGGGAAATGGAATCAATTCAATGACAACAAGTTTGAAGTTTTGGGCATTTCTTTAAGTCAAGTTTAATAATTCCTGGTATAAGACCCTTTTCTTCCTATGGATCAAAATTATTTACAAAGACATTAATTTTTTTTATAACTAGTTAAGGTAGATGATTTAACAAATCCTCAAAAGGATTACAATTAAAATCTTTTAAATAATATCCCAGTAGATATCAAATTCATAGACATGAAGGAGGGGGGGAAATCTTGTCTTATTTCCACAGCAGTTAATGCCTATAAATTTAGTTAAGTGGTACTTTTTACAAAGTTTTACACTTTTATCTAGCAAGGGTAGTATAAAATTTCACAAAGGATAAACTTCTTAATTTGAAGACTCCCAGAAGAGATGGGTATATAAGCGGTCTGACTTGGTTTTCAAATAATAAGTGAAATTTGATCCCTCTTGTGACCAGTGAAGTTTGTCTAGGAGCCCACTTACACTTATTTGTTGATATTGGATATGGCTAGATTATATCAAATTAAAACAAGTATAATTTTTATAAATTATACATTCAACTGGGATATAGGTTTTGAAAGTGACAGAAACTGAAAAAAATTTTCATAGGTCTCAATTACATTTAATCTGTCCATAGCCACTTAAAATACTTTTTATAAAAAACAGCATCACTCATAATATTTAAAAAGAACTTCCTTATGCAACATTTCTTTCTACTATTTAATTTCTAATCAAATGAGTGACTTAAAACCAAACTATTATGTGCAGTCTAAACAGCCAATGCCTGAAAAGTTAACATCAGTTTTTCAAATGCTTTTACAAAGCTTTTCACAGTTCTTTAAAAAAAAATTAAGAAATGATTAACGTAATGTCTCTTTCAAAAAATTAAAATTCAGAAAATAAACATTTATATGAAATATGAGAGTAAGAAATGCTTAAATGATGAAAAACTGTACAAATAAATTATTTTTAATCTCTTATCTAGGTTACTTCAATCATCAGATTTATTTCATTTATATCAATACATGATAGATTTTTCTACAGACTTATAAAACAGGAATAAATTCATAGAAACAAAAGGAATACAGAAAATAACCTCTGACTGTCATGTTTTATTACCAGTTGTTCCTGTAGTTATTAACACACTGTTGGTACATTACCTTAAAAAAAATCAATTTCCTTATTATTATAAATACTCACAGGAAACAAAATAGAAGGAAAGAAAAAATGTACTGCCAAAATTTAAAGAATTTACACATTAAAAAAGTCACTGTACATTTTGCTCAAATAATTTAATAGCAGGTAGAGCACCAAAATATACAATTATTTTTCTTGTCCCTTGACACATTAAAAGTTAACTTTACTTAATTATCATAAGACCAGTCAAGGGAGTCACCCAACTGTAACGTAGCAGACTAATACTATGCTTCCAGAGTGAAGTGCAGAACCAAGCAACGGCCTGGGACGTGAAAACAGCAGTATGCGTGATACACACACGTTTTGTCAAAAGTAATGCAGTGACCCAGCTTCTGTACTGCTAGGAATATACCCCAAGGAAAACAGAACTGAGATAAAAATGGAGATTTGTGCACCAATGTTCATAACAATTAGTCATAATAGCAAGAAAGTGAAAACAGCTCAGATGTCCATCCACAACAGGACTGAGAAATTACGGCACATTCACAAAGTGGAATACTACTAAGCAGCATTAAGAAGCAACAATTTCATAAAATGCTAAATAAAATGAGAGACTCTAAAGAGCATTACACTGAATGAACTAATTTAGTGTCATAAGGACAAATACTGCATAAGACCATAATAGTAAAAGTAGAAGGCTAACTAGTTAAGATACGGATAAAAGTCCAACTGGGGAAGGGTAGAGAGGATAGGAATAAAGAAAGGGTGGGGAGAAGAGGAAAACACTAGTGATTGGTAGATGGAGAAGTATGTGTGAAGCAATTAGGAAAGATCCAATGGGGATCTAAAAAGACATAGATCAATGGTGATTAATTTTTCTAAAATAAAACATACATGAGTGATTGTTTGAAACACAGTGTGAATGTAGGAATGTACGAAATGCAATGCACATGAATGATACACAATGTATATAAATTTTGTATGCAAACCAATATAAAATAAAAATAAAGTTGAGGGGGGCGTAAGGCAATACTTAAGAAGAACTTAATACAACTCACTGAATAATTAATCTAAAACCTAAGTTAAAATTGAACACAGTAAACCTCTGGGGAAAAAATATTTTAACAGTAAAAGAAAAATGATACTGGTGATTCAGAGATATACTTACAGATCCTCGGAGAAATAAAATGGGAACCCCAATTCCAAACTTTCCTCCTAAAGTGTCCACAGCAGATAGCAGCTGGAATGCCTGTGGACCAAAGTCCTGTGATGTATCATCTGAGTCTTCAGTGGAAAAACAATGACTTAATCTAAATAGAAAAAATATAAATGAAGTTCTGTTGGTGCAGTCCGGAACAAGCTGGTCAGCGAATTGGCACATTTCTAGCAGTTTAAATTTAACAGTGTGGCTCCAAGGGAGAAAAATGGGCAGCCTCCTCTCATTATGATTTAGAGCCTTGGAAACCCAACAAAGGGTCACTAAGAGTCAGAACAAACAGGACAGCATTGAGTTTGAGGTTTTGGGGTTTTTTTCAGTATAACATTTCACTGATTTTCACTTCCAGTAAATCAGAACTGATGCACAGCTGACCATCCAGCAGTATCTGGAAATCACACAAGAGGAGACTGCCCATTTTTCTACCACAGAGCAGCTGGTGGTTTTGAACTGCCTGAGTTTGGGTTGGCAACTCAATTCACAATTAAAATGTAGCTCAAGCTTGTCAACTACTTCAAAATCTACAAATAAAGTTTAAGATTTCCAAGATGTGAAGAATCTAAATATGAAAAAAGAAATTATTATATAGTCTCACAGACACATTATCTTCTTAAGACATGTACAAATGATTCTCCAATCTAGAATCTAGTGTCACAGAACCCAAGAGTGACAGGAGAGGTGCCTGGGAACATAAGCAGCAGAAGAAAAAAGAGCAAGCAGAGCTGCAGGATACCAGTCAGAACAGTTCCAAGGGATCACATAAGCAGCACCATTATCGAAATACACACTTTATCACTCCAAAATCCACCTGTCCTACCCTTTAGGAACTATACCACACCCTACTGTTCATTCTGAGTATAACTGATCCGTTCTTCACCCTGTAGCACAATCTTATATTTGACAGATTATACAAACAGACTCATACTGTAGAACTGGTATCATACTGTAATCACACTGCAGAACGGGTAATCATCTTCTAGAACTGGTGATCATACTGTAGAACTTCTTTTTTCAAATGATTCAATAATTTTGCCATTGAAGTCACTATGGTCAAACAATCCTGGGAGCGCCTAACTAGTATTCAATTTCTTTAACCATTTTAAGATTATTCTGGTTGTCTGTTGTTTGTATTTTATTGTTTTGATGTTATAAAGAAATTGGATCTACCTTGGTCTAAAATGCTGATTTTATACATATCAAGTTATTTTTAGTATGTCTTTATTATTCTTTTAATTCTGTGATTATCTATAATAATATTATTTCTCTTATTCCTCATATTAGTAACCTGTACGTCATCTCCTTTTTTCTTCTCAATCTTGGTAAAAGTTTTTCCACTTTTTCAAAGAAAATGTTTTCCAGTTTATTGAATTTTCTCTATCTTTATAGTCTATTTTTTAATTGAGGTTTTGTTTGTTTTTGTTTTATAGTTCAGAATGTACACAACAAAACAAACCAATTTTGCACTTTCCACACATACAATCAACTATGACATATGAGCAAGAGCCTATGGTGATGAAGGAGGAAGTTCAAATTGCTCTGAAGAATTGGCAAAAAACAAGGCTCCAGGTGTTGATGGCACACCAATTAACATATTTCAACAAACAGGGCCCTGGATGTGCTCACTAAGTTGTGTCAAGAAATCTGGAGGACAGCCAGCTGGTCAACTGACTGGACAAGAT